ATTCAGACATAAAGTTGACTTCCATATTCCTCTCCTGCAATAAATATTATTTAGGGAAAAAAAAACTACATCCACCCATGCATCATATTCTTAGGGTTATTTACATGGAAATCACACTCTGTTTATTGTGCATCCCATCTGGCCTTCATGCCATCATAAAATTAACTGAAAACTAAATGCCACAACAGACAACTACGGCTCCTGGTCATATTAAAAAAAATAAAACAAACAAACAAGAAAACAAAACACCCCCCCCCCAAGAAAAATAGCAGGTGCAGAAAAAACCTAGGTTCTGTTATTTTTTCTATATCAGTAAGTAAACAGCTCTAATGCCAAATCAAACAACATAATAAATTATAGATCAAACCAGCAGGACAGCCTTAATAGCTATGAGGAGAAAAAATATCTTGCTTTGGAAATAGTAACTTTTCTCTGAGAATAGTTACCATAATTATTTTGTAGGATTCTGTTTACACTTCAAGTACTGGGAATTTAACTATACTCTGTGCCTTCTTATTAAAATGTCAGTTTTATTTTATATCTTTCCCCAACTGAGCAAACCTCTATCAAGCAAGCAACATATGTGGGTGGGGTTACAACCACTGCACTTGTAATGATCTCCATCATGTCAAACACACTCAAAGGAACAATAGTTCCCCTGCTCTAGAAACAGTATCCAACATTAGTTAAAAAAAAAAAAAACAAGCTTCTTGCTAAATAATCTACATGAAATGGATTTATTTTGTAAAGTAGCACTAACTCTACTTTTACAGATCCACAAGCAAGGCAAAGAAATTAAGCAACTTGCCAAAGGCCACACCAGAACTATACTGCAGAAGCAGGACTTGAAATGAACCCAGATCTTGAGTCCCAGGCCAGTACCTTGTAAACAAAAATCCTTATTTGTTGCCTTATCAGCTACATTCATATCTACGTTGTATATTATTATAAAAGTATGCAGAGCTCACTATCTGAAAAGCTGTCATACTTTTGACTAACATGTTAGTGGGCAATTTAGAAAGTTCTGTGACTCCTGATTGAACAAATTTGTATCCATGAAACAAACAAGTGAAATAACATTTATTCATCCATTTTGTCCTTGCACTAAGGGGAATAATAACAAAAACCAAAGCAAACCAAAAGAGGAGGAAGATTGGGGGGGGATATCATATAAAATTAAAACTGAATTCTCAGCTACTACAGCTCATCAAAAAGGCTCAATTACCAGTCATTTTGGAGGCACAAGTGAGTTGAAATAAAGAAAACAGAGGTTTTTAAACATGGCAGTTGTCCAAATAAACATCTCAAAGTTTACAAAGTCAACCAGGGGTCAATACAAATACAATCAGTGAGGCAGCAGTCAGTCTTCCCTCCTCAAATTTTCCCCCACCACTTAGTAACTGTCAATCATGTTTTGTACCATTTATTCCACTTTTAAGAACACCAAAGCTCTGAGCTGATCTGAAGCCCCCAGCTTTGAAGTAGAGACTACCCATATGATAATAAGTTATGCTCCCTTTCTATTTCTCAGTTTTGCCTAACACAAAATGCGTTCCTTAATATTTTCCTGGATAAAATGTTTCGAAGTGACATGTTTTATCATAACTGTTCACCCTTTTTTCAAGCAACAGAAAAGGGCTGGAGGATCATTTTCCAACATGTCCTATTGAAGGGAAGTGCAATATGAATATCGTGCTTTAAATCAATTCTACTTTTCTACTCTAAAGATTTTGAAGAGGCTTCTTCATCTCAGTTACACTGCAGTTGCCTTATTCATTTGGCAAATGCTTCTCTCCCCAAATATCATGGTACTTTCAAGACACTAAAGCAACATTACAGTAAATGTTCCAAAAAAGGTGTCCACAACCCTTAAAGTACATAAACATATGCAAAAGGGCAGCCCCATTGTCTGCAATGAAACAAGGCCCACGCACAGAATTTAACACATGCTTGCACAGCGCTACACCATTAGTTTGGATTTGAAAAGTAACTCATTTAATTTCGCTCCATTTTATTCCCTTTGCTTGCTCCTGTAAGAAGTTACATTCCCCCACCCGCCCATAAAACGGTTGCGTGCGACGTCAGGGAACGATGCTTATCCACGTGCGACGTCAGGGAACGATGCATCTGAAGAACGCAAAGTTATTAACATTCATCCCATTCAAAGGAACCTCAAGCCAGGCCACAGCTAGTTTCTACAACTCTCAACCGATTTGGGGGGAAAAACACTGTTTAAAAAAACCCAATCCCCCCAAAAACCCCACCCCTCTCCCAACAAGGTGGCTTCAATCCCAGGCTGTTAATCCCCACAACCCCTCGAGCGGACTCCAGGCCTCATTTCTTGGCAGCTGCTTCCCAGCGAGGATTTCCCCATCCCCAGGCTGTTCGCATGAGCGGGCTTGGGCTCCACCACAGCAATAGCAGCAGCAGCGGACAAGGCATGAAGAGATCGACTCCATTTTGCGGCACCTGCAAGGCGGCGGGGCCCGCACGTGGCCCGGGGCCACCGGCTGCACTCGGGCAGGTCTCAGGCGCCGGACCCCAGCCCAGCAACCGGGGCTCCCGACAGGCCGCTCCTCCCCCACGCGGGAAGCCGCCGCCCCATCGCCGCGCTGCAGGCCCGAGGCCGCACGTGGGTGGGTCCCGGCGCC